GCCTTGCTACATTGAGGAAGTTCTCCTGGATAATATCCTGAAGAGTGTTTTCCAGGTTGGATTCATTCTCCCCATCACGTTCAGGTACACCAGTGAAGCGTAGATTAGGTCTTTTCGCATAATTCCTTTCTTGGAGGCTTTGTTCATTTCTTTTCACTCTTTTTTCTCTTTTTTCTGCCTTCTTGTTTTATTTCATTGAGTTGATCTTCAGTCTCTGATATAGTTTCTTCTGCTTGATTGATTGAGCTATTTAAACTTGTATATGCTTCGTGAAGTTCTCATGCTGTGTTTTTCAGCTCCATCAAGTCATTTATGTTCTTCTCTAAGCTGGTTATTTTAGTTAAGCATTTCGTCTAACCTTTTTTCAAGGTTTTTAGTTTCTTTGCATTGGGTCAGAACATGTTCCGTTAGCTCAGAGAAGTTTGTTATTACCCATCTTCTGAAGCCTACTTCTGTCAGTTCTCAAACTATTTCTCCATCCTCTTTTGTTCCCTTGCTGGTGAGGAGTTTTGATTTCTTGGAGGAGGAGAGGCATTGTGGTCTTTGTTGATTTCATCCTTTTTGCACTGGTGTCTTCCCATCTTTGTGGGTTTATCTACCATTGATCTTTGAGGTTGGTGATTTTGGATCGGGTCTCCAAGTGGACATTTTTTCTGTTGATGTTAATGCGATTTCTTTTGGTTTTTTTAGTTTTCCTTCTAACAATCAGGCCCCTCTGCTGTAAGACTCCTGGAGGTCCACTCCAGACCTTGCTTGCCTGATTTGCACCCCACAGGGGGTGTAAAGCAGTGAGGATTGCGGCCAGATCTTTCCTCTGGTAACTTCATCCCAGATAGTTGCCTGCCAGGTATCAGCTTTAGCTCTTATGTATGAGGCATTTTTTTGGTTATTCACGGGTCAGGAAACCACTTGAGGAGGCAGTCTGTTCCTTGTCTGCCTGCAGAGGCACTGCTGGGCTGTCTCGGGCACTGCTGGGCTGCCTCGGGCACTGCTGGGCTGCCTCGGGCACTGCTGGGCTGCCTTGGACTCAGCCCCCCTGCTGTGTAGGCTTCCTCTGGCCTTTCTAATCTCACACAGGTGGGATTAGACTCGCCTTTGCAATGGTGGATGCCCTTCCTCCCACCAAGCTCGATTGTCTGAGTGAAGCTTGGCCTGATGTACTGGCTGCAAAACTCTTAAGCAAGAGTACTTCAGTTTGCTGGTCTTTTGGGGGATGGGACCTGCCAAGCCATATCACCTGTCTCCCTGTTTTCAGCTCTCCCTCTTCCTGGGGAGCGGGTAGAAGCATCCCACAGGCACTCTCAGAGCTGGTCAAAATTTCCACCCAGATCTGTGCTGACAACTTGCGGCACCAGGCCAGCCAGAGCTGTTGCTCAGATCTGTGTTGGTAACTCGTGGTGCCTTTCAGCCTGGCGGCATTCTCCCAGACTGTGGGTTGCAATGGCCATGGGATATGCGCAGTATCTGAACTGGAGTTCTGAGGGGGTAAAGCCCCCTATCCTCCATCCATTTGCACTTCCCTGGTGGGGTAGTGCCCTGCCCTGCCTCTGTTTGCCCTCCTTGGGCTACACCCACTGTCCAGGCAGTCCCATTGAAATGAACCTGGTACCTCTGTTGGAAATGCGGATATCACTTACTTTCTGTGTCTCTCTCACTGGGAACTGTGCTCCAGAGCTGTTCCTATTTGGCCATCTTGGCAGAAGTCTATCTACTTCACACCTTTAATGAAAACTTGCAATATTTGGTTTTATTTCTGTATGAATTTGCTTAAGATAATGGCCTCCAGCATAATTTATCAGCTGCAAAGGACGTGATTTCATTATTTTTATGGCTGCACAGTATTCCATGGTATATATGTACCATATTATCTTTATTCAGTCAGCTGTTAAAACACACCTGGATTGAATCCATGTCTTTGTTACATGAATGGTGCTGTAATAAGCATACAAATGCTGCTGTCTTTTTGGTAAACTGATTTATTTTCGTTTGACTGTATACCCAATAAGGGGATTACTGGATCAAATGGTAATTCTATTTTTAGTTCTTTGAGAAATTTCCAAACCGCTTTTCACAGGACCTGAGCTATTTGGCACTCTCTCAGTGTATAATTGTTCCCTTTCTCCACAAACTCGTTAGCATCTGTTACTTTTTGACTTTTTAATAATAGTCATTCTGACTGTTGTGAGGTGGTGTCTTTCGTGGTTTTGATTTGCATCTCTTGATGATTGCTGATGTTGAGCATTCTTTCACGTTTGTTGAGCACTTATATCTTCTTTTGAGAAGTGTATGTTCATGCCCTTTGTCTAATTTTTAATGGAGTGATTTTTTTCTTGCTAGTTTAACTTTCTTATAGATTCTGGATAGTAGTCCTTTGTTGGATGCGTATTTTGCCAGTATTTTGTCCCACTTTGTAGGTTGTCTGTTCACTCTGTTGATAGTTTCTTTTGCTGTGCAGCAGCTCTTTAGTTTAGCTGGGCCTCAATTTTCAATTTTTGGTTTGTTACATTTACTTTCGAAGACTTAGTCGTAAGTTATTTGCCTAGCACAGTGTCTAGAATGGTATTTCCAAGGCTTTCTTCTAGGAAGAAAGCTTTTCTTTTAGTTTGAGGTCTTACATTTAAGTCTTTAATTCACCTTGAATTTATTTATTTTTTTTGTGTTGAGATGTAAGAGTCCAGTTTCATTCTTCTGCATATGGTTAGCCAGTTTTCCTGGTACATATATTGCATAGGGTGTCTTTCCCCATTATTCATTTTGTCAATTTGTTAAAGATCAATTGGTTGTAGATGTGTAGCTTTATTTCAGGGATCTCTATTCTGTTCCCTTGGTCTGTATAAACCACATCTTGAACCGGACTCTGCTTATTCATTTTTTATTCTTTCTTATTTTTTTTCTGTAAGGTTATTGACTCAAAGTCTTATACCTGGTGTAACTTACTGCTATTAATTATCTTTTTTTTTCTTTTTTGAGATGGAGTCTTGCTCTGTCACTGGGCTGTAGTGCAGTGCAAAATCTCCGTTCACTGCAACCTCAGCCTCCTGGGTTTAAGCGATTCTTCTGCCTCAGCCTCCTGAGTAGCTGGGACTATAAGCACCCGCCATGAGACACAGCTTTTTTTTTTTTTTTGTATTTTTCAGTAGAGACGAGATTTCACCATGTTGTCCAGGATGGTCTTGATTTCTTGACCTCATGATCCACCACCCCATCCCACCCCCGCCACCTCAGCCTCCCAAAGTGAGCCACCATCCCTGGCCTATTAATTATCTTAAATTGCTGCATGAGGAATATTGTATTGTTCTATACAACTTATCTCAATTAGTTTTGTTCATTAACCATTCAAATAGAAAACCAGGGAAGAATATGAGATTTGTTTTTTAAGACCGGCTACTTTATTTTAGTTCAGGTAAAATTTAAATTTCTAGAGTAAAAATTACGGTCAGGATTAGTTTTTGGGTGAAACTGAACATTTTAATCCTCAAATCTTCACGTTCTCCTTGCAAAAGGCATATAAATCTTGCTTATGTTGTCCCCTGCCTCTTAAGTAAGGGAGGCTTAAAGATACTTCATCATCATTATGGATGGAGTAAACCACAACATATCAAATTCTAAGGGCTACAAATCACAACAGGTAACCAAGTGCTAGCAATATATGTATGTATATGTTTGTGTGTGCACGTGTGTGTGTGTGTATGACATCATTAATTTTCACCTTGTGTTGAACATATAAAAATACCCAGAATAGGGCCGGGCGCAGTGGCTCAAGCCTGTAATCCCAGCACTTTGGGAGGCCGAGGCGGGTGGATCACGAGGTCAAGAGATCAAGACCATCCTGGTCAACATGGTGAAACCCCATCTCTACTAAAAATACAAAAAATTAGCTGGGCATGGTGGTGCGTGCCTGTAATCCCAGCTACTCAGGAGGCTGAGGCAGGAGAATTGCCTGAACCCAGGAGGCGGAGGTTGCGGTGAGCCGAGATCGCACCATTGCACTCCAGCCTGGGTAACAAGAGAGAAACTCCGTCTCAAAAATAAATAAATAAATAAAATACCCAGAATACTTCTCAAATGCAGTATTAATACTGTGAGAGTCTGATATACTGTGTATGTTCGAACAGGTAAGGAATGGAGCAGAACAGGCGACAGAAGATAGTCTCCAGGGTATCTAGATGTCTGCATTTTGAAAAAGATCTTTGGGTGCTTTTGATAGTTTCAGTCTCCCACGCCTCCCACCTCTTTTTTAAGGACACGGAAAAATATTGCCTAAAATAACCTCATGCATGTCAAGTCGACATGCATTTACTTCAACTGTATTTAAGTTAACAATCCTAATTCTTATTTAGTGAGTATGTATGCCAGGAACTATTAAAGTTGGGTTGATTTTACTGTAAATGGTTAAAATTATTTGGTGCTCTATTATGCTTTAGAACATAATAGTTTAGCCAAGTAGTGTTTTATTTTACTGAATGAAGTTAAGAAGCTGAAAAACAGTAATGTCAAACATCTGAAGGATACCTGCTATGTCACATTTCCTCGGTTAATCTAATTTGTTGTTTGCAGCAACACCATGAGGTGTTTTCCTTCTGAGAAAACGGGGCTGACCGGAGAGGACACAGCCCCATGGGTAAAGGGCTTGGCAGGGCAACAGTATCTTTGTACAAACCCCTCTGCAGAGATTGGGCATTGAGCACCTATCCAGAGCCTATGATCTTTACTACTGCACTTAGCAATTTTTTGCTAATAAGTTTGAATTTGAGTCTTTGCTGTATATTTGTGATTTAATTAAACAGCTGCTGTCTACTGAGGACCTGTTCTTTCCATTGTTTGAGAATTTCCATGTGTGTTTGTGTGTGTATATACACCATATATATGTACAATTTATACAAGAGTCTGCTATTAATGTTTTTGATGTAAGTAAAAATTTAATCTTATAAAATAAATGTCAAATTGATATTTGGTAACATTTTATTTGATACATTTTATTTGACACTTTTAAATTTTAGTTTATCGATGGTCGACTGGCAAAACTAAACACAGGAAGGGGTTTCTCTGACATATTTGAAGAAGAGATCACTTCAGGTGGCTTTTGTGGAGGTAAAGACTAGTTATAATATGATTATCCATTTTCTAAATAACAATTATCTCAGTTTTTGCACTTGTGTCTGATAAAATCTATTTCATAAACAATTATTTTCTCCTAAATATGTAATATCTTAAATGCATTTTATCATCTTATAAAAGTTATGATACTAGCTTACTTTACCTGATATCTGTTACTCAAGGCATTAAGTTGGCCTCATGAATTGGTAGCTGTTGGCCTGAATAATCTCTTAATATTGCTGGAAATTAGTAATACGGAAATCCAGTCAACTCGTATCTTCCTGCCTTTCCTTCTGAATAGTAGTGTTCTCTGCTAGAAAACTACTAATGATGGCTATTACTGAGTATGAACTAAAGAACAATCAGAAAAGAAAGATCTGACCACCAAAATTCTTTCTACATGTTTAAGTAACTTTGTTCTTGTACAGATGTCTTTACCTTTTTTACTTTATACATCACCACAGCAGGAAAGTTTCCAATTTACCATTCCATAAACATAATTAGTCCTTCTAATGTAAATGTTCAAATAATGTTATAATTATCTAGGCAATTCATAATTTGCAAACTGATATTTTTGCACAGTTGTTGTCATACACAGTCTTGACTTGCAGAGCATTTTGCTTTAGTACTGGAAATGTTCTGTTCATTCATTGAGTATTTGCTGAGTGCTTACAAGGTACTAGACACTGCTCTAAAATAAACAAAAATCCCTGTATTCTATATCTTAGTGTGTTAATTTTTAACCTGGTATAATAGCAAGTTTTTAAACTTCTTTATATATTTTTTTCGAGAAAATCATTTTCAGTCTTGTGTAAATAGTTGCTGGAATTGAGAAATGAAATATGAAAAGAACAAGTAATAGGTATTCATCTATACATTTCACAGAATTTAACTTTATTCTTAAGATTCATGTTTTCCATTAAAATATAGAAACCATTGAGATAATTGGTTTATTAAAGGAGGTACAAATGAACTCGGGAGTTGTGGACCTTTATCTGATGTAAGTATTTCATTTCATTGAAAGCGTTTAGCTTGGGGAAAACTTAATTTGCTTGACTCAGCAAGTAAGCTGAATGTGGAATCATTCAGCTCCTTGCTTCCCTCAGTTCATGGGTAAAAATGTAGCTTCAATGGAATTTTTGTGATAAAATAACACTTTTTTACTTCTCAGCTCAGACAAGCAAAATATTGTCAGCTCATGGACAAGTTGCTTGAGGCATCTATTCAGTATTTACATAACTGCTGTCTCATTAGCTTTATGACCCATGGGGCTAGTAGCTTTTATAGAATAGAAAATGACATTTTGTGACAATAAGGGGTTAGAACTATGATCCTTTTGTACAGTTAAATTCTGTAGTCTTAACCATTGGTCCAGGTACCTCTGTAAGAGAGTAGAGATAGGTGGCTTTTATGGTGGGAAGGCTTACTAAAATTTTTCATGAAAAGCCTTATTGTTTAAAAAAGTTGAGGAAAATATGATTACCGATTAGTATCTGACTTAGAAACTGCTGCATTTTTAATAGAACTTAATGCCCACTACTTTGTTGTGCTTTATTAAAATGAAAAGGTTTTGAACTCTTATTTTAATTTGAAAGAGCCAATACTTATCTAAAAGGAAAGCCTAATTTGACGGATACTAATTCCAGTGAGTACAGCAAGAAAGTTTCTTAGAAATTTGTGCCTATCAAGTATATTTTTAAATTATTCTATTTTATGTTATTTTAGAGATTCATAGACTTCTTTTGTAGATGAAAATAAAGCAAAATATATTAGGATTTGAAATAAAAAGATGACTATATGTATAATAAAAATTAGTAGTGTTCTATTAATTAGAAGATATCCATCTATCTAGGGGGTGTGTGTGTGTGTGTGTGTGTGTTTCCAAAATGGTTCCTAGAAGTCATTTACAAACATTTGTCTTTCATGCTACCCTTATGAGAAAGAAGAACATATCAATGTCATGAAATTAATCTGTTCTTCAAAGCAGTAAACTGATCTAACTTTGTTTCTCTCATAACAATAGTAATACAGTTGCTAGTATTTATTGAACACTAATATGTGACAGAAACTCTCCCAAGAGCTCTACAAGTATCATCTTATTGAATCCTCACAACACCCTAGGAGGTACTTTCATCACCTCATTTTTAGTGAGTACTCAGCTCAATAATTCACTCAATGTCCCACAGCCAGCAGTGGCCAGAGTCTCATTTCCACATGTGTGGAATTCAAAGTGGCTTCGAAGACCTTGCTTTAATAATAATAATATATTGCTTTTTTATAATAGATTTTCTTAATGCAAAAATATTCAGTAAACAGGAGTAGTAGTTAACCCCTTCCTACTCTGATTGAATCAAAGCAAAATTCTTATCTCTTTTGAATTTCTTAGAGTTTTTTTACACATAAAGTCCTAGAAAGACCACTGTGGTAGAAATTAACATTAAAACTAAGAAAAAATTATGTTCCTTTAAGCAAAAATAATTAGGAAATTTCAGAGAAACATCTATTTTATCCTCTTTATATATCATTACAATAGTAGTTTATATGTTATTTTTGTTGCTAATGCCTGTGGTTATGATAAAATGAATATGAGTATGATGGAGCTTTATAATTAATTATTGTGGCTCTGATTAAGAATATATAGTGTAGAACAAACAGATAAGAAACATCTAGATTCATATTTGACTCTAGAACTGTATGATTAAATAATCTGTGAATGCATGCATTTTTTTTCAAAAACTGTGTCTGTCCTGTGAGCCCTCATCAGGACTATGAAGGAAATCCATGTCACACCTTATTCCTTCATGAGACCCTTGCAAAACCTTCGACCTTAACTTAAAAGGAAAATTTTAACTTAACTTAAATAGAATGTGTGAAGGGAAGAATAGCCGTGGAGTTTAAAAGGTAATAAAAGAGGACAGGAGTAGAAGAAAGGATGCCTTTAAGTAAACACAGTATTGGTCTGTGAAAAAGCAGCGAAGGAATATTGAGTAGTTAAGAACATGTTCTTTATTTAAATAATTTTTTTCATTTAAGATGAAACTAGTTTTTAAATTTACATCAACTTAACTTTTGAAAGGAGAAGTATTTTCAGATTCGTTTTATGCGGAGTGTGTGGTTACTCTCCATCACTAGCATGTGTTTCTTCCTTAGTTTATACACATAATCTGATGAGTCTTTTATTTGTTCTTGTATTTATTTTTCCATTCTTATTTAGTTTTACTGACTAAGGTATCAAAGGAATTTGAAGAAGTGGTAGGTAATATCAATTTTAGTGTCATTTTCCTGGTCTTGTTGAACAATTTAAGCCAATTTACATTTTGAGATAAATAAGTACAAATTACTGGAATTTAAGCAAGTATATTTGAAGAGAAAGTCTTGGTATAAGTGAGAAATAGATATTTTGTCCTTTATTGTGAGAAAATCAGTTGTTTCATTAATAAAAATAATGTTAAGATTCTGTTCAGTAATGCTTATTACCATAATCCAGTTATTTTGAAAGAAGGATTCTGAGGGATTTCTTTAGTATTCAAATTAATTTTTAGAAGAACAACAGCTTTTTTCTAACATTACTAAAGAATAATGTGCCTTTCTTATAAATTTTGTGAAAATAAGAACCTTAAATCATAAAAGCACTAAAATTTAAAGGCACAAATAGCCCTTAAAACTTTTAAAATGCGAATCTACCTAAATTGTACTGTGTCTCCCTATCTTCTAAGCAAGGTACTTCTTGTTTGCCCCTATACTATAAAATTTTAGATTATTACTGGCAATTTTCTCTATTACCCTTCTTTTTCAGAATATTAGCTTTGAGCAGCCCCTTTTCCTTTCAAATATAATTGCTTTGGGTGCGATACAGCAGAAACCTCTGCATAACTTACATTTTAATCATATTTTATTTAGCAGTCTTAGAGGTAGTTTTTCAGAGTTGAAGGAATAATGAACTGGGAATTAAAATCCTAGATTCTTACTCTTTTTCAACTGCTAGCCTTGAGAACATGAATGAATAATATGTCATCTTAGAACCTCAGTTTTCTATTTTACCAAATTATTTATAGTAATAATCATTTATGATATGTCTTCAATCTGCTATGTACCATACTAAACATTGTTTAATCATTATCTTTCATCCTCACAATAATCCTAAAGGGCAGTGACTATTATGCTTATTTGATGAATGAAGAAACTGAGGCTCCGCCAAGTTAAGGACCTCATCCCAAATAATATCCTTCACAAGGATAGAGTAGTTCTGAATGCCATAGGTCCATTGGACTCAACGGCTCACTTCTTTCTTATTGAACTGATTTCTTATGACACTACTTGTTTGCCTATTTTACAGTAGAAAACTACAGTTCAAATAATGTAGATAAAAACATTCAATGACTTCTACAGGGCTGAAAATTAGCTTTCTTATTCCTCAGAGATCTAAGTAAGACCCTAACCTTCCTACAATGGTTTGAAACTTTTATGATAGCCAGTTTCTTTGTGGTTCAGAGGTTTAAATAAATTGTCTTCTGGATTAACAAGTGTTACAGAGTACTAAACTGGTGATTCTTCTTCTGCTTTCTTATATTCGTTTGGGAAAATAATTAAAATAAAACACTTTACAGAATACTATGAATAATAACCAAATCTTAAATATGTGATTTCCACTCAACCATTTTTAACAGAGAAGTATTTTAATACAGAAATAAACATATATGAACAATCTGGATGAAGAAAGATCTGTGGTTTATTTTGTTGTTTAAAAACATCTCCTTAAGAAATAAATTGGTAGAATAACTTTGGAATGTTTTATTATTTTGCAAGGGAAATATACTTTTAAAGTTTGGTCAAGCCAAATACCACCTGAAATTCATACCTTTTAAACGGTGCAACTAACTTTTACTAATATTATTTTAGGTAGTTATATTTTTCTTTCGTTATTTCACAAGATGAGAAAAAAATTTTTTGTCTCCATATTTCATCCTCTGGAAAAGGTGCAATGCATTGTTCTGAGCAGTCAGAGATGTTTTTCAGAATAAAAATTGTTTCTTGGCATTTCTTTTAAATTAGGGTAAGACTTTAAATATAGAAGTGAATCCGGAGCTGAACAGTTCTTCCCTGATGTTGATTAGGGTGCAAAGATAACAGTAGAAAGAAATTTTGGGGTTAAGATCATTTTGTCTCTATTTTGTAAGAGAAAGGTGATAACACTCATTTTGTCTCTATTTTGTAAGAGAAAGGTCATAACATCTTTTAAAATACACAACCAGAAAGTAGAGGAGAACACTATGTTTTAGGGATTCTTTGTACTGGATGGTGTCTGAGTAGCCATTGGGAGCTTTTTTTTTTTTTTTTAAGAGATGGGGTCTTGCCCTGTCCCCAGGCTGGAGTGCAGTGGCATAATCATAGCACACTGCAACTTTGAACTTCTCGGCTCAACCAGTGTCCCAGCCACAGCCTTTCAAGTAGCTGTCACTATAGGTGGGAGCCACCATACCAGGCCTGGGATTTTGTTTTTTATTGTGACTTTTTACCCCTGTGACTTAGGGAGTATTTAAGCTTTTAAACAAAAAGGTAGTAGAAATCTAACTGAAATCACTTGATGGGAAAGATTAGCTAAGTTGTATCTGTATTTCTTTTTTTACCTGCTGATATCATCTTATTGACTAAATTGTTTATCAGTTTGGAACCAGATATGTTGATTGCCAGATTTTATTAGAACTACTTTGGTTAGCACTTGAGCTTTTTAATAATCATGACAATCTGTAGCCTAAAAGCTGCATTTGCTTCACAAATCCTTGCATAATATTTTTCTAACTTACAGATTTACAACTAGAGAAAATATTTTCAAAACTAAAACTGCAAGTTTACGTTAAAAAAAGTTAGCTACTAATCTCTGTTAATATTAAGCAGTTGTAGAAGAATGTTTTTTGTTGCCAAGGTTGTTTGCACTTCTAAGTTTTCTTCTAGTTTTTTAAAAGTACAAGTATAATATTTCTGTATGTACAAGAAATATTATTTTAAAATAAACCTAATTGTGTAAAGGATGCAAAGTTTACAAAACAACATACACATAAAACATGTAAAAGTCAGTTTAAAAAGCATAAGAATTTTGGATTTCAGAAGAGAGCTTGTTATATTTTCTCCTCGGAGGCTAATACTAAAATGGATGAAACTGGATACCATTAGCTTCATATATGGATGAAAAAAGTGATCATTATTCCTGAAATTGTTAATTATTCCTAAGAATTAGAACGATTTATTAGTTCTTATGATGCTATTTTTTATTGCTTCTTTTAAAACATTGCATATAAAATTTGCCTACTAAAAATTGTACAAATACTAGTCCTTGATAAATTTTGGTTTACAGATTTATTTTTGATGAACATTCCAGGCCTCTCATTTTTATATATTCCAGGAAACCCAAGGTCATATCAACAATGGGTGCATACAGTCAAGGTAATCATAAGCTTTCACATGTTATTTTTCCACTCTAATATAAATGGAGAAATGTTCAGCAAAAGGATGCTGTTTATACTTACGCTGTTTATATGAAGTGTTTGTATATTTTGTTACATTTTAAGTATTCTTATTTTATGTTTATAATTTGTTGAAACTCATTACTATAATTTTTAAATGAAAAGTCTTGCTCCAAAGATAAATGGCTTATTTTGAAAAGCAAAGTTTTACTGTCATCTTTTATTATTTTCCAGAAGAAGAACTAGGTGGGTTAGTAGGATTTGATGGCAATTTTATAATTTCTGTTAATATAGTTTTGCTGATATGATTTTTAAATATGAAACTTTCTCCCATAGATTGAGACTTTATTTACCCAATATTAAAACAGCTGATAAACTAGTATTTCTTTCTTACTAAGCTTTTAAATATATTCAAATTGCTCATGTTTACCTAAACTTCAAATGATTTTTTAAATGATGTATAATATCAACTAAAGAACAAAGTGGAAAGTGTACATTTTGTTTGAAATTATTATAGTTCATAGAAACTTGAAAACACTGAACATGAAATAATTTGCATAGGACTTTAAGTTGTCAGCAAAGCTCTTTTTTTATGCCACTTATTTTAATGCTTTGTTTTCAGGACATTTTGGCCAAAAGATTTTGGAAATATGTTTCTGTATTTCTTTTGCAGAAAGGAGGTGCACTGTTCAACACAGCAGTGACCAAAGCAACCCCTGCTGTACGGACAGCATATAAATTTGTAAGTTTTTTTATATTAAAAAATTATATTCATAAAATTACATAACATTTTCCTAGATGATAGACATATAAATTCTGAATATTTTCTGTTTTTCTTTTAAATTAACTTAAAAAAATAGGATTAATATTGACTAAAACAAATTCAGTTGTTAAAATTATAACATCGCATACAGAGGGTAGTTTCCTTTATATAATCTAAAAAGGGTTCTAATTTTATTTCAAAGCTATCAGCAAAGTTGTGCAGCAAATTGAAACAGTTCTTGATAGAGTACCATTTTGTAAAATGTCATTATTTCATTTAACAACATTTTAAATTCTTGTTGTCTACTTCGAAGGAAAAAAAAAAGAAAAATATAGCAAGATCTTTTCCCTCAAATATGCATTGACTCTCTGTTAACATTCTTCAGTGAGTCTCTAAGGCAAGCTTTTTCAACCCATGGCCTGCCTCAGCCTCCTGAGTACCTGAGATTACAGGCACCTGCCACCACGTCCAGCTAATTTTTGTATTTTTAGAAGAGATGGGATTTCACCATGTTGGTCAGGTTGGTCTCGAATTCCTGACCTCAAGTGATCTGCCCGCCTTGGCCTCTCAAGGTGCTGGGATTATAGGCATAAGCCACTGCACCTGGCCCCAACACAAATTCTTAAACTTTCTTAAAACATTATGAGATTTTTCTTGCTTTATTATTATTATTTCTTCTTCTTCTTCTTCTCCTCCTCCTCCTCCTCCTTCTTCTTCTTCTTCTTCTTCTTCTTCTTCTTCTTCTTCTTCTTCTTCTTCTTCCTATTCTTATTCTTCCTTCTCCTCCTCCTTCTCCTTTTCTTCCTCTTCCTCCTCCTCCTCCTCCTCCTCTTCTTCTTCTTCTCCTTTTTTCTTTAGCTCATCAGCTTTTGTTACTGTTAGTGTATTTTATGCATGGCCCAAGACAATTCTTCTTCCTCTGATGTGACCCAAGGAAGCCAAAAGATTGAACACCCCTGCTCTAAGGTTTATAGAAAATAATAATGGGAATATTAGCAAGAATAATAAAGTTAACAATAAATGTTAAAGTAAAAAATAACTCTTTAATATGACAATTAAGACCCTTCAAAACCGGACCCTTCATGTCTAGTTCCTTTTCCCCCTACTCCTCAGGGCCTTCCATATCTCTGAAGATACTTAGTTACTCCTCGTTTCATAAATATAAGATATTCTCCTCTGCCCTTCAATTCTTGCTCAAGCCATTCCTATTAATGGAATGTCAATTTCTTGGCCTTTATCTACCTAGTAAACACCAGTTCATTTTATAGGATTTAGTTCAGGCATTATTTCCCTGAAAAGAATTCTTCCCAACCCTACACAAAAAAAGTTTATATACATATTTTTGTATCTGTAGGACTTCTGTTTCAACACTTGTTTTGTCTGTGTATGTTTTTCTCTTAATACTAGCTTAGTAACTTCTCAAAAGAGAAGCTAGTGGGTTGTGGTCAATAAATTTTAAAAATTTGATAGGTCGTGTATTTTATATTTCTAAAAACATTTGAGGCAATAGTTTTGATTTTGTAAGAATTTGTCTTCAAAAGCTTTTCTCAGTAAATTAATTGATGTGACTGAATTAATAATAAAATAGTGCATTTAATAAAAGTTTAGAACTTCTGTTGTTTCTTGGCTTAAAATTGTGATATAAATGTGGCCACCTTTTTATGTTTAAAAATTCCATTCAAATATTAAATTTTATAGTAGGAAAGCTAATCTATAGAGTTTAAAAAATACAGTTCCCAAATTGTAATTATTTGAAACCTAACCTCAAAGCCAAAGTAAGACAGGTAAACCTCAGCCTCTGCCTTTTGTTTGGTTGTTCTGTGGCTTTGCTAGGAAACCTCTCTGGTGGTTTGATCTAAGTGCAATCTTTGAAGAGGTGTTTTTCACTAATGAAATAGCACACAACTACCATTTGAAAAACAACGTAATGTTGATCCTTGTTTCTCACATTCATTTAAGATTCTAAAAATCGTTTCACAGTCAATAGCCCTTCATTTTCTCCTAGAGCAGGCAGTTTAGGGTTTTTTCTGGCTTAGAGAAGTTGTATTTTTTGCCTAATATGTGTCTTAATTTCACTCGTATTTTTCACAAAAGCATAGCAATGAAGCAAGCATGTTCAAAACTTTATTCATTATTTAAAAATTTATCCTTCTAATCAGTGGAGTATTTTATTTTAACCCTTCTCTACAAGGAAGTAAAATGTTTTCAAATTAGAAATTCTACTCTTTGGGCCAGGTGTGGTGGCTCACACCTGTAATCCCAGCACTTTGGGAGGCTGAGGCAGGTGGATCACTTGAGGTCAGGAGTTCAAGACCAACCTGGCTAATATGGTTCAACTCTATCTCTACTGAAAATACAAAAATTAGCCAGATGTGGTGGCGCGCACCTGTGGTCCCAGTTACTTGGGAAACTGAGGCAGGAGAATTGCTGGAGCCTGGGAGGTGGAAGTTGCAGTGAGCCAAGGTCATGCCACTGCACTCCAGCCTGGGTGACAAAGCAAGACTGTGTCTCAAAAAAATAAAAAAAGAATTCTACTCTGGAGTATTACTCCCTAAAGTCATTTCAAGTGAATAAGGTTGTTAGAATATCCCTAATCACTTTTATTATTTATCTTGTGATCATATCATCTTTGAATCAAGAGGTTTGGGGCAGGTAAGTGAGTTATTTTGTGACCTTTGTAGTTGTATCTAAAACTGATCTTTCCAGACTGCTCATTTTCTGAAATCTGTACCCTGAAATTCCTTCTTTGACGACAAATTGCTGTGAATAAAACTCCCACTTTCTGTTGTGTGGTATAACATAGTTTATTCACTTTGGTTTTCTGTAGACAGTAAATTTTTCAAAAGTGAAAATCATGTTTTTATCTCATTTATTCAACAAATTATTTGAGTGCCTATCATGAACCAGTCCTTATACTCATTGGAATTAGAGCAGAGCATGAAGGTACAGTAAGAGATACTGTCCTTTACTTTTATATTTGTATTCCTATCACTTTGCTCTGCACTTTGAACATACTACAGAAATACTGAATATGTGTTTGTCGAAGCAAATAATGATTCTGTCCCATTCTTATAACATTTTTATACTTATTTTATGGTTAAAATTTTTTCCTATGCTTTTCATACATATGTTTTTCTTTGCAATAGGAGCCATAATGAAACTAGAGAGAGTTACCATACATACTTTTATAAATTTAAGAATAACAGTAAAGTAGAATTCATATTTTATTTGGCTAAAAGGCTTTCAAGTCATCTTTCTTGTTAGGTCTGCATTTTAAATTATTAGCCAAAGCCATTTGCTTGGAGCATTTCTGTGAAGAGTACTTGCATTATTGTTAAGCTTCAAATTGGTCAATTGAAAAGAATAGAGAGAATCTATATCCCATCTTCCAGGTAATCTGAAGGAAGTCAAAGGAGGACATAGAGCAACAATTATTTAAATGAGCCAGTGCACTATGGAATTATAGAATCATGGAAGAGACTGACACTAGTAGCTTTAACTCTGTATACTAAAGAGCATCTGAAAAGATCAGTGTAATCAAGTGGCTTAGAGGATAGTGAAGTAAACTAGATTATAGTCTTCCTGAGTCACTTTCCTTATTTTGTAATGTTATCATAGTAGTACTAATCTTACGGAATTGTAGTAATAACTACATAGGATAATGCATACTAAGCACCCAGCACACAGTCATATATTTGGGAAACAAAATAAATATGAATTCTTTTTCTCTTCTTTTTCACCTTGGCCACTGTGAGTAGGAATTTCTAATGGAACAAAGGCTAAGGCTTTTATGAAAGCCCCTGGTTGTCTTTAGTTAAGTTATACCCCTCAGGAATCACAGCAGGATGTGAGAAACTCAAATGCTGGGGCCAGATTCCCTGTGAAACATGAAGATAGCTTTAAATTGTTAAATGACCTTTAATTTTTGCCAAAAAAACTAAATATGAAATACCATTCCATTAAGATGGCTCTGCTAATAAATTTCTGTCTGCCTATAAGAGCACCTAATAAAGCTTTGTAAAATTGCCAGTTTCTTGAAGTTCAAACATCTGCCCAAATAACTTGCTGCTGGGATGTGCTTTCTCTGTTCCTCCAGTTTGTTAGTTTTAACGTTAGTAATCTGGTTTATTCCCTTTGTGTTCTTGAGAGTTTAGGAAGCAAAATAGGCTAAATGTTAGCCTTTGTATGATACTTGTATACAAAGAAGAGACTAATGGTTTTAGTAATATAGTAAGTGGTATGTGTATCCCTGAAAATAAGAGTGTTAGATTATAATCTGTTCTTTTTCTAAATCATATGAATAGTTAGTAATTGTCATTAAATGTGATCTTATATACTTGTTCTTGAAAAGGTAATAGAACCATGCTGAGCTAGGCACATTTATTATCATTTTCTAGGCAAAAAATCATGCAAAGCTGGGACTAAAGGAAGTGAAGAGTAAGCTAAAACACAAGGTACGTCACCGTCATTTTTCTATTTTACCTAGATTATTGTACTAGTTTGAAGTTTATACTTTACAAATTAGAAATTTATGTTTTTAATGACTTTTGAAATATTCTTAGCTCTTTATTCAAGAATGTATATTTTATAACAAGCCCTCTGGCAACTATCTGCCCTTCTATATGCATCCACTGAATAATCTCTTTACTGTTTGCATATTTTATCACAGAACTATGGAAGTCTTCAAAGATGTTTTAAACAAGATGTATGTTTTCATAAAATTGATTGCCTTGATACCACAATTGAAGTTCTTGCTTTATGCTAAGAATATTTTTTAAAGATATCTTTGTGTAGAACTAATCGAGGAATGCCATCATTTGTTTTGATAGTCTCATTCCAATAGTAGTTACTTTAAAATGAAGAATGTTCTTAATTTACAAAAGATTATGTATTTAAGCTGCGAATATTGCAGATACATAAATGTATATAAATGTATGTTGATTTTAATATATATTATATCTTCACAGATTTCATTATCAGTTGTTACGTTTTGAATTTTTACCTTTGGAGAATACATACTATTAAAACGTTCAGTGTAGTGAAAACAAATTATCTTTATATAAATTTTATTCAAATTATTTAAAGTAATCAGAGATTTTTAAATTAATTTTTATTAAATTAAATTTATTGATTTATATTATACATTATAATTAACTATTAAATTTATTAATTTAGATTATTAAAAAATGCATTTTCTTCCTAAATAGATTATTTATACTTAAAGCTGAAGTGTTATTTTGCTACTTGTATGTGTATCAGATACTTTGTTTATTAATATAACTTTAGTAATAAAAGGAGTATTTTACAGTAATTGTGTGTATATTTTTTCATGTGTAGGAAAATGAAGAAGATTATGGGACCTGTTCTAGTTCTGTACAATATACACCAGTTTACAAATTACACAATGACAAGGGAGGAAACTCAGAAAAGCATAAGATTGCTCATGTAAGTAAGATTATTTACCCTTCATTCCTCCACATTCTCAACTTATATAATTCCAATAAATTATTTAGGATAATTTATTTTTTTATCATTTACTTTTTTCTTACAAGAAAACCTGCAGTATTGGTCAAGGGGAGAAGTAGGTGGAATCTGGGAAGGCTACAAGGGGATTGAGAGTCAAATGTTTCAGATATCAGTCTCTGCATGCTTTGTTAGCCCATGCCCTTATAGATCTCCTAGTCCAGTGAGAGGAAAGACAAGTAAATGTGTGATTCTCATTGAGTGTGGATAGCTTGATGATAAACTGGAAATCATAGGTTTCCTTTACTACTAAAATAAAATCAGTCTTATACATGGGTATTTGGCCATTAAAATAGTGTAAAGAAATTAAAATCTGAACTACTGTAAGTCTATCTTTTTCTAAAGTTAGATATTTTATTTGCTATCGATATTTAAAACTGCTTTTTATATGCTGATACTACTTAAATTATTGTTTCAAGTGACAGTGTTCAGAATCATGGTTATAAGTGTTTCTGTTTTTTTTATAAGTACATTTATGAAGGCTCTAACTAAACAAAATTGGTATACACCAAATCATATCTTAAGTGGCTTTAGAAAACTAGCTTCAAAAAAAAATTCTTGAGTGGACTATAGCTACAAAATTACAGAGCTAGAAGTGGCTACAAAGCTTCATTTATTATAGTTGCCAAGGTTTGCAGATGAGAAAGTTGATAGCTAGCAAGGTCACACCACTTGCCATAAGTCTCATAACTGGTCAGTGGCGGATGGAGGCAAAAACTCATCTTTGATGCTCAGTTAGCTTTCCTGGATAGCCAGGTACCGCAGAAATATACACGGCCATAAAGTGCTTCTGTGGATCTTTGTCTTTGTGTCCATTTTGTGCTGCTCTACCAGAATACCTGAGTCTGGGTAATTTGTAGAGAATAGATGTTTATTTCTCACAGTTCTGGATTCTGGGAAGATCAAGGCACTGGCATCTTATGAGGCCCTTCTTGCTGTGGCCTCCCAGGGTGGAAGGCAGAAAGACAAGAGAGATGAAGGGACTAAACTTACCCATTTATAACGGCACTTATCCCACCCAAGAGGGTGGAACCCTCATGGCCTAATCACCTCTTAAAGATCCCACTTCTTAATAGCATTACAATGGCAATTAAACTTCAACATGAGATTGTGAGGGGACAAAATTTAAACCATAACAATCTTTAAGAATGGCAAAGGATAGTGAAGCTGTACTGAAACTCTAGACCTTTGTTTAAAAAAAATAATCCCATTAATTCAATCATTCATCAACACTATATGCAGACACTTTTCCAGGTACTGTGTATATATAAAAGGAAAACATAAAAATTCTCTGCCTTCATGGACTGTTTTTGTAATATATTGAATAAGTACTTTCCTTCTTATTTATTCATTTATTAAGCTGATATTTTTATATTAGAATTGCTTAATTACAGCATACTGATAGTCAATGCTGATTGTCTCTTCTAAAATAAGCCCTTCAATAAAATAATTATTCCAGAAGTCAGAAACCTTTTCTCATTACTGCTGTTAAGAACATTTATTAATGTGTGAACTAATGATAGATTAGCTATTGGTTTTCTGTTGCTTTTTCCCCTCACCACTAATATCCTCAATTCTTGTCTGTTTTCAAGCTTTAACATCTCAAATACTGTTGTAAAGTGTTTACTGGCTTAATATTGGAGCATTTAGGTTATCTTTAACATGGTGAATAGATTTTCTGTGAAAGAGAATATGAGATCTTTGTTACCTACAAGATACTTTAGGATTAAAAAAAATTATATTGGAGAAACACATTTTCTAAATAACAGTTTCAAGTTACAACAACTATTAGCTCCTCATATGTTAATTAATTAATTTTTAAATTATAAGTTGATGTTTTATAATTATAAATTTATAGCATCTAAAGCAATGTTTTGATTCATGAATATGATGTGAAATAATTAAATAAAGCTAGTTAACATATCCATCACCTCAAATACTTAACATTTTTTGTGGCAAGAACATTGGAAATTTGCTCTTGGGACTTCCGCCAAGATGGCCGAATAGGAACAGCTCTGGAGTGCAATCCCCAGTGAGAGAGACGCAGAAGTCAAGCAATCTCCTCATTTCCAACTGAGGTACGAGGTTCATTTCAATGGGACTGGTTGGACAGTGGGTGTAGCCCAAGGAGGGTGAACCGCGGCAGGGTGGTGCACCCAGAAAGTGCCACTGACCAGAGGATTGGGGACTTTACCTTCTCGGCACTGCGGTTCAGATGCTGTGCTTCTCCCATGGGTGGTGCAACCCACAGTCCAGGAGAATGCTGCTGGGCTGAAAAGCACCGCAAGTTGCTAAGCAATAGCTCCGGCCCACCCAGTGCTGCAAGTTGTCAGCACAAAACTGGACAGAAGTATTGACTAGCCCAAGAGTGCCTGCAGGACGGATGAACTTACCCCCCAGGAAGAGGGAGAGCTGAAAACAGGGAGACAGGTGATACGGCTTGGCAGGTCCCACCCCCACAAAGATCGGCAAACTGAAGCCCACTCTCTTGAGAGTTTCACAGCCAGCACATCAGTTCAAGCTCAACCCAGGATGATTGAGCTCGGTGTGGGGAAGGGTATCTAATCTCACCTGTGTAAACAAAAGCCAGAGGAGGCCTACACAGCAGCTAGGCTGAGTCAGAGGCAGCCCAGCAATGCTTCTGCAGGCAGACGAGGGACAGACTGCCTCCTCAAGTGGCTCCCTGACCCCCTGAATAACAAAAAAAAAAAAATGCCTCATACAGCAAAGGGGCCTGTTAGAAGGAAAACCAAAAAACAGAAAGAAATAGCTTCATCATCAACAGAGAGGACATCCACTCAGAGACCCCATCGGAAATCACCAACTTCAAAGATCAAAGGTAGATAAACCCACCAAGATGGGAAGAAACCAGCACAAAAAGATGAAATCATCAATGTCCTCCTCCAAGGGATCACAAATCCTCACCAGCAGGGGAATAAAACAGGAGGGAGAATGAGTTTGACAAATGGACAGAAGCAGGCTTCAGAAGATGGGTAATCACAGACTTCTGTGAGCTAAAGGAACATGTTCTAACCCAATGCAAAGAAACTAAAACCTTGAAAAAAGGTTAGATGAAATGCTAACTAGAATAACCAGCTTAGAGAAGAACATAAACAACTTGATGAAGCTGAAAAACAGCACAAGAACTTCACAAAGCATATACATGTTTCAGTAGCCAAATCAATCAAGCAGAAGAAAGGATATCAGAGATTGAAGATCAACTCAATAAAATAAAATGAGAAGGCAGTATTAGAAGAAAAAGAGTGAAAAGAAATAAACAAAGCCTCCAAGAAAGGGATTATGTGAAAAGACCTAGTCTATGCTTTATTGATGTACCTGAAATTTGCTCTCATAGCAATTTTAAAATGTACAGTACTCCATTATTAATTATATTCATCATGATGTGCAGTAGAACAAAAAAAAATCTTTGTCTTCCTTCCTTTTACAAGGCATAGCGCTTTTATGATAATGTAATTATAAAATACATTACTGATTTCTGTTTTTATTTTCTGTTAACTTCTAGAGACAGTTTCTTTTTTTATTATATACATCAAGGTGTATAACATGATGTTTTGATATACATAGTAGAATGATTACTACACAAGCAAATTAACACATCTGTGTCATCTCACAGTTACCTGGTTTTTTTTCCAAAGTAAGAACACCTAAAACCTATTCTTTTAGCAATTTTCTCGTATTAACATAGTATTATTAACTATAGTCCTTACCCTAGATTCTGATAGAGAAAATTGTATCGGGTTATGGAAAACCTTGCAGAATAATGGGTTGCATTCAGCGTATACTTATACTGAATCTTGAGGGCTACGATGTATTATCATTAATTCAGTTATCTGCATGTATTAGTATTTTATTGTTTACAGTAGATATGACAGCAATGATAACTATAACAGGAATTAGGAGTAGGGCTTATTATGTTAAGAATTCTAATGTGATTTTTCTACTTGCTGCATAGGAATTAGTTGAACCTACATTTACAATTGTGATGCAAATGTCGATAGTATCTCAATAACCATCTTTACTTTCGACGTGATAAATATCTGAGTTTCAGGAAATGTGTATACCCAGTATATATGTTTGTTTTTATTCTTTATGTGTCCCATTATATAAATAATAGGTAAATATATCTGTGTGGTGTTATATGTATCTTAATACCAAAAATTTTAGAAGTTCATATGCCCATTTTTTGCCTACTAATATCTATTATGATATAGTATTTTGCTTGCATTTTTCCCTATGATTGAAATTTGATTTTTTAGTTTTAGATTCACATAGGTATATAACAAAGAGGTAAATTTTTGGCCCTCTGACAATTGTTTTCTGCTACATTTCACCCTTAATATTTTTTTCCCAAGGCTTCCAGAGTCCATGCTATCTTATACTACTAATGTTAATTCTTTGAATGGATATTGAGTTGTTACTGCTTTGAAATGATAGCCAATTGGTGACCAACAGTTTATTTATAAAAGCAGAACAGAGTACGTTTACATTGAAATTACTGTCAAATCCTTGATTTTAATTATTTAGTTTTAATAGTATTAGGAAACTCACAAATGAAATACAACAATATCAGTTATAAGGATATAGGCATTCCTTAGGACATCTAATTGCAGGAATATGTCTAGGCCTCTAGTAGGATTAGAACTAGGAAGTGGAAAAAGTCCTCAGGGAAGAATATCAGCTCCTCTCCCTACCTTACTCCTCTCTCTCTCTTTCTCTGTCTCTCTCTGCCTCCCTCCTCAACCCCACTCCTCCCTCCCTCCTGTCTCTCCCTCTCTCTTCTCTCTCCTTTTTCTTTTTCCTCTTCTTTTCTCCATCTTCCTCCCTCTCCCTTCCCTTGTTCCTTCATTTCTCTCCTCCTCTCCCACTCTCCCTTCAATGCTTGGCCTGTTCTTTATGCTTAC